ACACCTTAATTATGCTGTTTAGTGTCATACACTGACTAGAATGTCTCACAACTGTAATAGGAGAAGCGTTGGAGCACAGTCATACAAAAATTTTATTTAAAGTAGGTGTATTAATTTAAAATGTTTGTCTAGGAAAAACCCTCTGGATGGGCAGGCAAATATGTTCTAACAAATAACATCACTGCCTAATGGGGTTATCAAAAACTCAGATACAATCAAAAATAAGTCTAAACTATGATTTGCAGCTACATAGATGCAAACAGGGCTGTCTTCACCTCCTCCACTTCAGAGTCAACTTCCCACAAGACTGCTGAAAACACACAGCTCCCCTCATTAGCAGCTGAAGACCAGTCAACACAACACAGTTACTGCTTTAACCAAAAGAAAACTTACAAAACTTAATTCTGTCTTGACAATTATCTAGGCTCATGATGAAGACTTTTCAGTCAAGACTCACAGACATTTTGACCCCAGTTTTGGATAGTTCTTCAGAGTTGCAGTAGGTGCACCAGATTAATTTTACAATTTACCTAGAGTTTATTTTTATGTTTTTTATCCTCAAAACGGGAAGAGCACAGTTAATTCATGAGAATTTCTCGAGTTAGTCAGATATGTCTTGGGATTTAAATAGGTTACCTTTCTTATAATATTGCATCTCATGGTTTCATATGTCTTTCATTTAAAAAAACAAATAAATATTTGCTTCTTCAAAGGACTGATTTTCAAGTCTGTATCTGATGTATGATTTCTAGCTAAGCCAAGTTGCCTGGTTTGAACATGCCGAAATCTTGTTTCACCACTGCTGCTAAATTTACGTAAGAGTAATACAAACATGTTTGCTATGATGCAATTATATTATGTACTTATTCCATGAAACAATATGTAAACACTTTGTTTCCATGAATAAAGACAGACAGACACTGGCGTGCACAATTATATAGAATCTTGTCCTCCTATCCTCAAGATAAACAAAAAAATAAAAATCGCTGCTTCTGTATGGTAACGGAATCGACAGTGATTCAACATGGCATATCAACTAAGTCATCCAAAGCTGTATATTCTTTAACTGATTAATCAATTTTGGAATCTATCAAACTTAGCTTGCTAAACACACACACCTACACATATACACACCACCACAAACTACACATTTCCATTATGAGACACTGAAGTCAGGAAACTAGACAAAGATACAGCTGGTTAGAATGCCCACTATTGTCCCCCTGTAAATGGTCAAGATAAGAAGGGAGAGGTTTGCTCTTCTTGTCTGATATAGGAAATGCTCTCTTCACAGAAGCAGAGGTGTGGAGGGACCTGGTCAAACCGTGATTTGCACCCCCAGTAAGTTGGGCTTGACAAACTCGCTTCACTGCCATGTAGTTAATAAGTAAAGGGAGTGACATATTTTTCGTGAAGTTAACATCAAACTCTTTAGTTTTGTTGACATAAAGGATTAGAACCTTTACCATCTTACCATTCCACCAGGCGTTTGACCTTCTCTCTGCAGACTAGTTGATCAAACTTGCCCCTGTCACGTCATCTGCATGATCCAGTAGGTACTGAACCTGGTATAGCAGTTCTTGGCCATCAGGATAAGAGCTCTAGGTTCATGCCCCATTCAGAAAAAAACAGGTTTGCATATATACTATAATGTTCTTAGTTGATAGGCATCCCGTACAAATGAAGCAGCTGCAAAACAGACTGTAATTATAAACTTCTCCCCTTACATAATGCTCCACTTTGCTTGAGTCCAATGCTTACAACTTGCACTTCTTTCTTCCTTCAGTTAGATATTAAATGAAACAACAGGCTCTTTGGGCTATAGAGGGCAGTAAGTGGATAAATACTGGACAGTTATGCATGTCACAACATATCAGGTGAAAATTATTGTGTAACTGGAGCCCAACATTCAAGTCAAACAGCTTATTAAGTATAAATGAATTAACAAGGTACCCAACATGATTTAAATGTCATGGCTAAAGATTAAACATAGGAATTATAGACAAGAAAATAAAGATAATAACATACCAACAAGAAAGTAGAAAAACTTACAGTACTAGCCTAAAAAATACACTGATCAAAACACTGATAGATTTGTAATTAGTTTTGACTAGTAGATTTTCTTTCCTTTTTTCACTGTAAGAGATCA